GACAATTTTATTTTCGTCTCGAGTCAACGAATGGCTCCTGGACATGGATGTATTACCAGAACAGGATAGAACTCTTGTCGCAAACTGGCGTGCGAGGCTCCAATAACTGTAACATTTTTCCCTCACTGGCCATGGTGACCATACTGAAATATGATTTTAAGACAATAATCATAATAAAATATTCTTGACCTGATCAAATTTAATTAATTTTGCCGCGAACCGACAATGCAGTACTACCAATGGAGAGGTAGGGAAAGGTATGGGAAGGAATTTCTTCAAAGTGAAGAAGCTCCATGAATATGTTGTGGTCTATTTCTTAGGATTGATAAATTAACAGTATTCAGTATTCACGCGTTTACATTGCAATTTATATTAACTAAAATCGTTTTCAATTAATACAGTTTGTTTTAATACACCAATTGGCATATAAAAGACATTAAATGTTAAGTGCCGCTCATTACAAAGACAGTGAAAATTAAATTGAAATGGGTAATGCCCTTTCTTAGGTGGGGGCCCACAAACACACAGTCACAAAATTTTATCTTCTGTGCGCTCCTACTGTAATTGGCATGAAAAATGCTTTAAATTTTAACTGGCGCTTAATACAACACGCGAGTGCAAATAAAATTCAAATTGTTTAAGCTGTCTCTAAAATTAACGCCCTCAAACACACAAAGTGACAAAATTTAAACGCCTTTGCGAATTAGTTTAACTTCAATATGTTAATTAATTAGTTTGCGAGTATATTTTAGATTTAAAATCATATGATTTTCGAATATTCGCTAAAAAGGAATTGTGCCCCGGGCGCAAGGTAAGCTCGCTACGCCACTGGTCACGAATATTTTATTATGATCATTGTCTTAAAATCATATTTTAGTATGGTCACCATGGCCAGAGAGAGAAAAATGTTATAGTTATTGAGGTCTCGCGGGCCTTCACTTTTTCGACAAGAGTTCTATCCTGTTCTAGTAATAGATACATCCATGGTCCGGCTACCTACTCTATCAAGAATAGACATCAAGAAAATAGAAGATATGCAGCGTCCCATGCGACGGAGGCGAACGCGATGCGGGAGTAGTCACAATAAAAAAAAATCATATAAAACGTATTTATTTAAAATATTTTATAATACAATAACGAGCGATGGTCTCCATTATGCACTGCTTTCTAACACTTATACCTTTATTATAAAATGTATGTTTCCGGTGGAGCCGCCGCCGCCGCGTCTCTCACATAACATGCCATATTATTTCTTTCAACCTTAGCTTTGAGCTTGACAATATCGCCTTTTACATACTAAATATTACTTTTTTTAACGTAACAATTGTTACTTGCACCGCGAGCCTCTCGCAGACAAGCTGCTCGGCGCCGCTCGGGACTGCTCGCGCGCACCACGTTCAGGTGTTACATAATTATAGGTATTTAATATTTCACCCTCTTTATTACATTTTATGATAGATTATTAAAAAATATTAAAATGCATAAGTTTTAAATAATAATTTTATCCTAATTCATGCACTATGAACTATTTCCACCTTTATTGTGTATATTATATTTACGTCGTCTTATGTGCAAATGATAATCATAAACAAATATTATTTATGGTTGAACAACAATTTGAACGTCATAGCATGAGATTATGCATA